GGGAACCAGGCCACACCCTTCTTCATCCTGGCAATCACAATTGCAGCCCCAATCAGAAGCAAGGCCACAGAGACCCCTATTCCAGAGAGGCACCACCCAGCCAGGATTCAGGGGGCCTATCCAGCCTACGTACACCACCCGACCTGTTCCTTCCATTCCAGTACAACCTGCAGGAGCCTGGCATGTGCCACCTCTGCAACCACGACCCAAGCCGGAGTGAATACTCTTTGAGGCCATGTTCAATGGCCGCCACGAACATTTCAACTACTTCCTCACTTGAATCCGATCCCATATAGAACAATTTGGAGATCAATATGCCACAGAGTGTGATTTGGTTATGACCATAACAAATGGGATGAATGAAGGGGATGCTTCAGACTGGGTGGCCCAACTACATAACAAACAAGCCCCCGAATTACACAATGTAAATGAATTTATTCAATTATTAATATTCAGATTTGAAAATCCAGACAGGGTAGTAGAGAATGAAGAGAAATTAATGGAAATGAGGCAAGGCAAGCAACCATTGTCAGAATTTATTTGGGACTTTAGAAGGGTCGCAAGACACCTCATGGATTGGCCTGAAAGAATGACTTTACACTATTTTTAAAAAGTCATTGATCCAGAAGTAAAGAAGGCCTGTGAAATTAGGGGAATCCCAGAGACCTTACAGTTGTGGTATATCGCCTCCCTCAGCTTAGATTGCAGCATCAATTCACATAGGAAACCCCTTCCGGCAGCCCCGACTAAGAGAATTGTGGCGAGGAGACCACCGACTGGACCAGCCGAACCTGCTCGTACCTGACCCACCAGGGTGCTGAAATGTTACTGATGTGGCCAAGCCGGTCATAGGGCAGCAGACTGTCTAGCCCCTGCTCCTATGCCACAAGCTCCGCAGTCGAAGCTTCTATAAACAATTCATTCCATCCTTTGCTGAAGTTGCCCTCCTGTTGACAGAGCTATTAAAAACGGGCCTATCACCCACCAAACCAAAGCCGAGTCAACCCCTGTCTTGGACTATGGATTGTCAGAAAGCTTTCGAGACATTAAAATGCCTCTTTGCAATGGAGCCCATCCTCAAGCATCCAGATGTGACCAAACCTTTTATTGTCCAAACTGATGCAAGTGATGTAGCAGTGGCAGCCATTTTACTGCAAAAAGACTCTCAAGGCTGACTGATGCCTTGCGCTTATGTATCCAAAAAGCTGACAGACGCAGAGAGAAGGTGGGCGGTCTGGGAGAAAGAAGCATTTGCCATATGATGGGCTTTATTGACTTGAAGGCATTTTCTAGAAGGGGCGCCAGAGGCCTTTGAGGTATGGACTGATCATAAGAATCTCGAGGCTCTTAAGACCCCTAGGAGATTATCGCCCAAACAAGTCTGCTGGGCCCAATATTTCAAGCGATTCAATTTCAACATTAAATATATCCCCGGAGGGAAAAACATACTGGTGGATGCTCTGTCCAGAAAACCTCAGTTTGACAGCCACCGAGAGGAAATAGTACAAGCCTTAATTTTAGATGCTCAATTGACCGGCCAAGTAACCACTAGAACCCAAGCTAACTGCAGCCCCAAACACCCGGAAGATAAGCTGACTGCAGAATTGAAAACAACCCTATTGACCGATCCTTGGTTCCTGGACCATCAAACCGAGTTGACAATGAATGATGGACTAGCTTGGAAAGGGACTAAGCTTTATGTACCCACAACCCTAAGACTACTGGTACTAAAGCGTAGCCATGACTCACAGCTGGGAGGCCACTTCTGATTCCTAAAAACCCTACATTTACTAAGAAGACAGTTCTGGTGGCCAAAAATGAAACCTGATCTTGAGGACTATGTAAAAAGTTGTTCAATTTGTGCCACGATGAAACACAGAACCGGAAAGCCCCCTGGCCTCCTGCAACAAGTTGCTGAACCAACCCAACCTTGGGAAGAAATCGCAATGGACTTTATTGTTGAATTACCTAAGAGTGAAGGGAATACGGTCATTTGGACTATAATTGACTTATTCTCTAAACAGGCCCATTTTATAACCTGCAAAGGGCTTCCATCTGAGAAAAAACTTGCAAAGCTGTTCGTGAAACATATCTATAGACTACATGGTGTATCTCGCAGAGTAATATCAGACAGAGGGGTACAATTTACCGCAAAATTTTGGAGGCAATTTCTGAAATCCATTGGCCTCTCAAGGGTTATCCTCAGCTTTCCATCCTGCTTGTAACGGAGCAGCGGAGAGGGCTAATGCCATGATTGAACAATACATTAGATGCTATGTAAATTATCAACAAGAAAATTGGGCTGAGTTAATACCTTTTGCAGAGGTTGCTTACAATAATGCAGTACATAGCAGCACAGGATTGACTCCATTCCAAATCAACACTGGAATGGATTTTGTCCCAACAAAAGACAACCTCCCTCATCCATGTCCCTGACAGAATGGATGAGCTCATTAAGGAAAGAGTGGGAAGATACAAAAAAAGCTTTGAACGAAGCTGCAAAAATTTATAAAAAACAAGCGGATAAACATAGATTCCCTTCAACCGCTTTTTAAAGTAGGGGACAAAGTATATTTGTCGACCAAGTATCTTAGGTTGAAACTGCCCAGTAAGAAGCTGGGTCCAAAATTCTTGGGTCCATTCCCAATTTCAAAGATAATCAATCCAGTCACTGTCCAATTACATCTTCCTCGACTATTGGGGGAAATTGATCCAGTGTTCCATTGTAGTTTACTAAAACCAGCTACTACATCAATGATAAGATCACTACCACTCCCCCTAAACCATTGACGGTATATGAGGAAACACATTATGAGATTCAAAAAATTCTACATTACACCATGGCCGATTGCAATATTTGGTCTTATGGAAAGGATACCTCCTCTCAGATGCTAGTTGGGTAAAGAGTTGGGATGTTCATGCTGATCAATTGGTTAACCAATTCCATGAGGATTTTCCCCACAAACAGAAGGGTCCTTGTGTGTAGGGGGGAGGGGATTAAGGACAATATATTAACCCCTATATGTGTGTTTTTTCTTTTCTTTTAGGAGGAGGAGTTTTCAAGGGGGGGACGCCTGTCAGCTTTGAAATTCAGCTGCCACATATTTTTTGGGAGAGTTAGAGGAGTTGAAAAGTTAAAGGTTATTCTGTGTGTCGTATTAAGAATTTGCAGTTGCAGTTAATTGGTTCTCGTGATTTATGAAGTGTAGAAGTGGGAGGAGAGAAGGGAGGAGAGAAGGTAGATTCTGTGTAAAGCGCGAAAAAGCTTTCACTTGGGAAATTGCTTTTGAACGTGCCAGATCTGTTCCTAATAAATCAATTGGAGAGATAACGTCTCGGAGTGATTGATATCATGGATACTGTCTGGATGCTTGACAGTAAGGAGAGCTGGGAGAGTACTGCATGGCGGCTTAGCTGGCTAGCCGAGCCTGGGGATGTTGGGGAGGGCAGCTAGGTAGGCTGGGTGAGGCCCGGGGAGCCCCGGGGACAGTGGGGGAAGGGCAGGCTTACCTGTGAGCAGGCAGATCGGCTCCAAGCTACTTCTTTCACCTGCTCTTGCTAGGAGAGCCTCTCCCGGCAGAGCGAAAAGCTTACAAGGCCCCTCCCTTCAGGAAACAGCTCCTGGGCAGCAGAGAGAAATGGGATTCAACTGGGCTGCTTTTCTGCTACCCAGGAGCAAAAGGCAGGCAGCAATGGCTGGCCTGGCGGGCAAAAGCAGGCCAGCCAGGGGGCCATTTTACTGGTTCTCCGAACTACCAGGAGCCCTAACGTCTGACAGAACCAATAGAATCCCACCCTGAATGTAAGGAATCTAACGTATATAAGAAAGGAAGCCTAAGTAAAATTAAGTGAAAAAGGAATGGGGGGAACAATAGGGGAAAAAAGCAAGGAAAAAGAAAAACAGAAAGGAATAAAATATTTTGACATTTCAATAGTTTTTCCAATATAAAAATACATCTCTGAAGTTCCAAAGTGAACCCAATCCTAATCCTAATTTTATGATATAAACCATTGTAATTCTGATGGATAAATCATTCATATGAAATAGGAAGTAATGATATTTGCACATTGCACCTTGAAAATGTAAATGAATATGTGTTTTGAAAATAAATAAAATAATAAAAAGGGGAAAAAAAGAAAATGAGTTTCATGTCTCATTCCTCAAAGACATTTGTGAGATCCCTATCAAATCATGATGACAGCAAAACACCAAGGAGAAACCAATAAATCTGGAGATGGAATCAGCCAAAGTATATCTCAGCCATTGTAAAATGACAAGACTTAACTGCATTCTGCATTCAGTGAGCAAAAGGATCCCAGATTTGTAAATTGTATTTTTTTTAATTTGCAAAAGTTATTTTGCTGCCTGACATCAGCCTGGTAATCAAATGGAACTCTATCATGTTCCCCATAGCAAGAGATATTCTTATCATCTTTCAAGGTGAATGAAAGTGGCTTCACAATTGTCCTTCCATTCAATGCATTCCCTTTGATGGCTATCATTTCACTTCACAGATGACTTAGCAAGAGAAGCAGGGAAGAGTCCTGTTTTCAGGACTACATCAAACAAACCCAAAATAATCTGTTCTGGTATACAGGGAACAAATTTCTAAACTTCATGATTAATCTTTGGTGAAGTGGGAAAATACAGCAACAATGAATAAGTCATAATCAAAAAGAGGAATTGAGGTTAGCTCACATTTATTGTTTCCCCATTCCTTTTCCTACTTACACAAATCACATCCTTTCATGTTTAATGTAATAATTTGTCAAAATCATTGGACCAGTGTGTTGATTGTTCTTTATAGTGATTGATACAATAACTAAGAGCCCATTTTAACGTATCCTTTGTCTACTAGGACAAAGGATAGGACTCATCAGTATGATATGTTCTACCTTTAATGTTTCAAAGAAGGGATAAATGAAGGCCACCAAAAAGCTCCAAGAGAGACAGATGTGGTTGAGCAATTCAGATTAATGAATCACTAAATGTTCCTACTCTTAAGAACATGGTAGAGCACATAATGTGTAAGTATTGGGAGTTATGGTAAATCCAACTTCACGGGTCATGTCCAGGTCTTCTTTTGATAATCCAGGAGCTGGTTGAAGGGTGAATTTCTGCAGAAGACTAGTAAAGAACATGAATATTTCTGTTCTGGCAAGGGTCTCACCTGGACATATTCTTCAACCTGTAACAAGGAACAGGATTATTAATTAGTTTAATAAAATTTTATTCTTAAGACATATTGGTTTGAGAGTTCACTATAAAATTGAGTTCTTACTGACTAATCATACAGAAGAATGATGCTGATCAGCTGCCACTAAGGAAACCCTTATAATAGGTCTCAGAAGTGTCAACAATTCAATAAATAAGTTGATAAAATGAACAATAACAATAACAATAATCTTTGCAGTCAGTCAAATATTCAGTTTGGTATTTTTGTCTACCTATCAAGTTCTTACAAAGGACCTGAGATAAGCAGATCTGCATGTTTGATGGTGTTATAGATATCATTGCAGGATGGGAAATTTTGCCAGTAAAGCCACCTTTTGCAATTGACTGATGGCGAATTTGTCAATGCCAATGGTGTTCAAATTCTTTGGAGATTGCACCCAAGGTGCCTAATTACTATTGGTAACTACCCTTGCTTGCTTCTGCTACAGTTGTTTTATTTTTATTTGTAGGTCTTTGTATTTTGTTATCTTCTCCAGTTCTTCCTCTTCTCTTCTGCTGTCTCCAGGCACTGCCACATCTACTGTCTAGATTTTTTTGTCTTTCTTATTGACAATTGTTAAGTCTGGGGTGTTATGTAGCAGGTGCCTGTCTGTTTGAATTCTAAAGTCCCAGAGCAATTTAACTTCTTCATTTTATATGACTTTCTTATGTTATGGTCCCACCAGTTCTTGCTTGCAGGCAAATGATATTTCTTGCAGATCTTCCAAAGCACCATTGTTGCTACTTTGTCATGCCTGCTGCTTGTAGTCAGTCTGGGCAATCGTCTTGCAGCAGCTTACCAGGTGGTCCTCTGTTTCTTCAGTTTCTTTGCAGAGGTGGCACTTTACCATCTGTTGCTGTCTTCTCAATTCTGACTTCGTTTGCATTTGTCCTTAAGGCTTGGTTTGTGCAGCCAGAATTAGTTCCTCAGTCCTTTTCTTCAATGTTCTTCCTCTTAGCCATTGCCAGGTCTTGTTATTATTGGCTTTCACTGTTTTTTTTAAAATGTACTAACCATGTAGTGTTTTGTCTTCCCATGCCTCCATTCTCCATTCCTCATTTGGTCTTTCTTGTAGGCCAGTTTGATCTCTCCAATAGTCATTAAGCCTTCCTGGCATACTAGCTTTGGTTCATCATCTTTGTTGTCTTTCAAATATTCTTCCAAAGTCCCTTTTTCTTCTTCAACCATCTGATGTACTTGCAACATTCTATTTCCACCTATTTGCAGTGATAGTGTTGAGCAGTGATTCTATTTCAGATGAAGTGTTTCTATACAGCTTCAGATTGTCCATGTAAATGAGGTGGAATAGCCTGGCAGATGTTTTTGATGTTTGATAGCCATGACCTGAGTTATTCAGTATTGTTGACAGAGGAAACAATGCAATGACAAATAGTAGTGGTAATAGTAAATATCCTTGAAATATTCCTGCCCTAATATTAACCTCTCCCAGTCCCCCGTCATTGACCTGTAACTGTGTCTTTCATTATGCCATCAATCATTCCACAAACTTTCTGATGTTTCTACTGTCTCCTGTAATTTCTAGGCACTTGATTATCCAGACATGTGGCAAAGAGTCAAATGATACTTTTAGTCAATCCATCTACATTCAAGTCTGATTCTGGATGTTGTCCTTTCCAGAATTGGTGCATTTGTTTCAAATATCCTCTTCTTGTTGGTCTTGATCTGTAATAACAGGTCATTATTCTTTGTTTTCAAGCACTGTGTATTTGTGATGGGTAAACATCTTTTCTTCCATTAGTTCTGCAGCTGTTGGCCCTGGTTGTTCAGCCAACAGTCTGAAGTCCTGTGGCCCATTTTTCACCAGATATCCAGGAACTCCACCATCAGGTGATATCTGAGCCAGTATGTAACAAGGACTTGGAACAGAATAAAACCTAAATGGTATTGTGTATTAATTCTTGCACTATTAGCCTCTTTGGGGAGATTTTAATCAAGGAGAAAAGCTAAATATCATTTGATTCATTATTATTTTTTTTAAATAGCTACCTGCAGAGAAAGGCATACATACATCTCTTTTTATCAATTTTCCTTCAGTGTTGAGAAAATGTTCAGGATAGAATTCGTGAGGTTTCTCCCACTCAGATTCATCATGGAGTACAGAAGTCAGCAAGGGAATCACATGAGTGCCCTGTAAAGAGAAAGGAATGGATAATTTAGAAATCAAGCTGCTACATAATGCAGTTCATTAATGCATAATGCATTTTCATTGTGATACTTAGAGACACTATTCTTTCCAATCACGTAATCTGAGCTGTATAGAGAGATTTTTGAATTGTTGAACTTCCTTGGTCTTTGTTTCTACTTGCAACAATAAAATTGTTTTATTTTAGGCATTTGTGCTGGATTGCAAGCACAAAAAATCTACATTTGCTTCTTTAGTAGTAAATGCCACTGAGTTCCATCATTCTTCATTTTAGGAAGGTACACCAAGGACTTTTAAACTTCTTTAATCCATATATTCTCTCATTCTCCCTGTGTTCTCATCTATGTACAGATAATGAAGTATCTGCAATAGACAGCTTCTTAATCCAAGGAAACTTTCCAAACATTAAAATTCACGAGTCTTCATTCCTGCAGATATTCCTTACACAGCATATATGTTACATGAGGATGGCAAAACGAAAAGGCTTCACTTTGAATACATATTCTCTGAGAATGTATTAGGATCTATGAGAAACATCATCACTTAATTATTCTTAAGAATAACTTGCACTCCTATTTTATCATTATGGTGATATAAGCTCTGATTTTTTTTGGGGGGGGGGGGGCTGCCATAGATTAATATAGCTCTCCCCACAACATACACCCTATTGGATCTGTATGCAAGCTTATGCCTCCATAGAGTTTGAATTAAAATTAATATGCCAAATTATTATATCCTTAAAATTAATAGAGTCTGTGGCAAGTGATTTACGAAAGCTTTCGAAGAATTTTATTGAATGTCACTAGCTAGGACTAGAAAGAGAACAATGCAGATACATCACCTTCGGAATGAAATAGCTCTTAAAGGTAACATCCACTGTAGTTGCATGTGGCAAGTTTAAGGGAATGACATCGGCATATCGTTGAATTTCATGGACTACAGCATCTGTGTGTGGCATTTTTATTCGGTGTTCAGCTCCTGGCTGAGCATATCCAACAACGTTTGCTATTCTTGTACTTTTTCTAAGATAATAAACAATGACATCCAATAAGATAATCTCAGTGTGTTGGATATGATATGTCTTGGAAATATTACATTGTGATGATGCATACAGTGGTCAGGATTTCCTCTGGAAACTGATAATGCATAGTAAATTCAGTAGAAGTGATATTCTTCACTTAAATCTTGTTTTTTTTCCTCTGTTATTTTCAGTCCTGCCACTTCTTCATACTCTTCTATTTTTTTCCATTAGTTTAAACCCTGTTTCTTTTGTGGGTCTTTTAAAATAAAAATTAAATTGTCTGCAAATGCCTGTAGCTTATAATCTTTATTTTTAATTTCCATATCTTTTATCTGGCCATCTTCTCTAATATTTCTATTCAATACTTCCAAAGTCAATACAAATAGTAATGGTGACAAGGGGCATCCTTGTCTTGTACCCTTCTTATCTTTTCAGTCATATCTCCATTTAGCATTACTTTTGCATTTTGTTTATAATATATTGCCTTTATCATTGTAATAAATTGGTCCCCAAAATCCGTCTTTTTTATCTGTGCCAACATAAACTGCCAATTCACATTTTCAAACACCTTCTGTGCATCTAAAAAGATCAATGCCATCTGCTTCTCTGGATGTGCTTCGTAGTACTCCAGATAAGCGCAAAAAAAAAAAAAAAAGAGTTGACGAAGTGATTAGATATTCAGATTAACAAGAAAATAAAGTTTTGGGGGATTCAATTAACAGCAAAATGTGTAACAATCAAAGAAGATAATTATAAATTGTTTCAATGAATTAAGACTAGATTTAGAAAAATGGAAAGGTTTGCAATTATCATTAATAGGAAGGATAGCCACAATTAAAATGAATATATTACCAAGGTTGCTGTATTTGTTTCAAACAGTCCTGATAAAGTAGGAAAAAATACTTTGAGGATTTGAATAAAATAATATTAAAATTTATATGACAAGGGAAAAAAAGCAAGAATTAATTTTAAAATGTTACAGGATAAAAGAATGAGTGGAGGTTTTGGACTGTGTTAGGAATGTAAGCAACCTAACAGCTATTTGGGATGGAAATATATAAACCAGGATAGACATTTTAAAACTGTATCTTTAAGAAAATGCAAACTGTAATTGGGTATGGTTTCTCGAACGGCCATAAGATGGAGCCAGAAACGTGGGTTGTCTTAGTCTCAGAAGAGAGTGTGAGTGTATCTCTGTTTCCTTCTGTTGGAAAGTATTGCTGTTCCTCCATTTTTCCTAATTGACTGATATTCATGGATTTGATGTAAGTCTGATAGTGAACTGTTTTTGACACTGGACTTTGTTATTGGATTATCCCTGGATTGAAAACTGACTGATTTACCTGTGAATGACTTTGGACTGTATTTTGAACTTTGCTTAAACCTTTCTGGAAGTAAAAACCTACATTTACTGTACAGTGTATCTGTGTGCTGTGTGTGTGTTATTCAAACACTTCTCTCAAATACGTCTCCCTGTATGCGCTCATTCTCCTAATGGGGAATTACTTCAACAGACTGCCTAATTGGGAATTACATTATCAGGCAGTGGTGTGGATAAAAAAAATGGATCGTGTTGAGGAATACAAGATTATTGACCCTGGAGGGACATGATTTGTAACTGGGTTGGCGTGCCTTTCCATGGTATGGGAAAAATAAGATACATGGTTACTTTTAAAGACACTATATAAGAAATGCTCTATTGCTAGTATGGGAGAAAATCAGAGAATGGCACTATTTGAAAATACCAGTTTGGCTTTCAACAATGAAAGCACTTATCCACCAAAATGTTTTTAATATGGGAAATGTGGTCAGATACAAAGATATTTTGAATGAAAAGGTTGAGCTCAAATCTAAACAAGAACTGGATGAGCAAGGGATCAAAATGGTTTGGTATTCACATATGCAAATACAATCTAGATATGAAAAAGATGAAAATTATATGGTTTCTATAGAGAATTGACAGAACTGGATAAGATACTAACTGGAACAGAAGATAGATTGATAAAAAAAATTGTATAGTTACCTGCTGGGCATTAAATTAGAAGAGGAACAAGTGAAGGAGACAATAATAGATGGGCAAAAAACTTTGGTTATACAATAGAATTAAATAAATGGCAGAAGTTGTGGGATAGAAATTATAAGTTAACAATGTCAACTGCATACAAAGGAAACTTATATAAGATGTTTTAAGGATGGCATTTCGCATCAGTGAGATTGGCAAGGATGTTTAAAGATAAGTCAGTTAAATGTCTGAAATGCCAACAAACATCTGGGTCATATTATCATAAGTGGGGGACATGTGTAGAAGCTAAAAAATATTGGACAAAAATACATACATGGTTGGAAAAGATGATACATACTGACTACATACTGACTCAAAACCTGAAATATTCCTGTTGGGGATCTTACCTGAAACTTACAGCAAAGAAAAAATATATTTGATTGTTCATGTATTAACTGCAGCTAGAATTGTATTTGCTAAAAATTGGAAAAGCGAAGAGATTCCTACTGATGAAACTGTGATTAAAAAATATTAGAATGTGCAGAAATGAATAGATTAACATTTGCAATTAAAGAGAAGGAACAAATTGAATATTATAAGATATTGGAACTATTTTATCAATGGCTAGAGAAAAAATATGAAAGCTAGAAATAGCTAATAGATTAGTGAAATATAGAAAATAGGTTTACAGAACTAAACATGCTAAGAAGAAGAGCGTTATAGTAATAGATATATTATGTATATTAATAAGATAACAATAAGATAAAAATAGAGAAGTAATCCCAAAGTAATGAACATGGGTGTAAATTTTAATTGTTATTGCACAAGATATTTGCACCCAGATGACACACCGTTAAATGGAAGATGAATTGTATGTACCTAAAATAAAGTAAAGTAAATTTACAAAAAGAAGTAAATTCACTAGATGTGCTCAGCCCGGAGTCTCTGTTGGTTTGAGCAGGCTATACATATTGTAGATAATATCATACATAGTTGTAGATTGAGACCTTAGATGTCACATCATGGTTTTCCAGTAGCTAATGTGTACTCATTAAATTATAGAGCTATAGCATGGTCCAGAGTCCAGAGAGGGATGTAAACCCTGGAAATGATGCAATTGCTTTAAGGTGCTGTAGGCAGGTGTCCCATTTGAGCTTATGCATGATTCAGGTCAGAGAATCCACAAAATAGGAAATACAATTGTTTATCTTTTTTGCCTGTTACCAAAGTCACTGTAATTTAGTTATTCCACATCTAATATTGCCTAGCTGAAAGCAAGATGTGCTAAAATAATGGAAGCTGACAAATTGTAAAGCACTTACTCTGAATTAAAGGGTACCTCATCATTAGAGTAAAGGCCCAAAATAGAGTGCTTGCTATAGTTTCCACACCAGCAACAAATAGATTCATCACAGACTCTTCTAGATTTTTATGGTTGAAATACCCATTGTTTTGAGTCTTCCTTTCCTAGAATTAAAAGAAAGAGCTGGTTTTAAAACTGGTTCTAAAAGCGTGCACTCCAGGACACATTGCAAAGACAAAGCAGGCTTCTCTGGAAATTTTTTTACAATTTGTTTTGTGAAAAGATGTAATAAAATGACATGCATTAGAAGTATGCAAATTAAAGGCTAAAATAGTTCCCAACTCATTTTGAATTCATAATGTTTTGTACAGTCTTAGTCTCTGCTATGTTGAGGAGAGTTTCTACTTGGGCAAAGAGTATGTTATAAACAGTTTGACAGGAGGAGTGAATGCCAAATGCCTTGAAAAAATGGTTAATGTAACCCTTTTAAAAAAAAACTCACACCGGAGATCAAAAATATTAAAAACTACCAACTATTTATTTGTATCCTTCTTTTAGGGAAAATGGTTGAAAAGGTGTTGCCAGTATTGCTTCAAATATATTTATAAGAAGCCAATTGAAAAAATTCCAATACAGTAGGACACTGTGTAATTCAAAACTCTTATTGCAAGAGTTACATGAATAGTGTAATTTTTTCTAATTCTCCTTAATAGCATTTTTTGAATGTTTTCTCTTTGTTTGTTTCCAAAATGGTACTCTGGCTGTTTATATACAGGATAATATTGCTGTAGTACCTCCCTTTCTTCTTGGCTGTACTGAAATCCAATTAAGCTTTGAAGTTAGATCTCATTCTATTCTAATTCTATTTAATGTCTGGGTGAAGTTTTATAAATGATTATGTACATGAAAGTTATTACCTAGGAGGTTACTCTTCCACACACATTTTTTATTACCTTCAAGCTCATAATATCATTGGAAAAGATTCATTCCATTCCTTCTCTCTCGAGTGAGTAAGTCAGTGAGTAAATGAGTCAGTGAATGACTGAATGACTATCAGTTTCTATATCTTGATTGTATGTTAAGTATATATGTAAATAAATCATTACATAAGGTATGTGCGTAAGTGTAAGTAGAGAACCAGTTTGGTGTAGTGGTTAAGGCACCAGGTAGAAAGTAGGAAATTGTGAGTTCTGGACTATTACTTTCCTGGGTCATCAAGTACTAACAAGATTAGGCTAAGTGGTGATTGGTAACTGCAGTAGTCCTGGTAAGTAACCATAATACAAACTTTTCAAAATTAGAGTGCTAAAAATCAGGCAAAATAAATGATTGCTCAATTTTTGGAGACCATTGCCAATTTGCTAAGTTTGTTGTCTTCTATAATCAATGTTCTTGTCAACTGAATGTGCTTCCATTTACAAATTCATTTCTGAAGTTTGATGGAAAACTTCAAGCTGCCATTTCTAGCAAATTTCATTACCTGTTGCTGTTGTACAAGATATGAATCAATAAAGTTTCTTGTGTCATTTTCATCCAGGTTGTTGAAACATCGAGTGAAGTTTTCATTGATGAAAGCGTACAATTCCTTTCTGCTATTTATGATTTTCTTACGAGTGGCAACAAAATAGCCAAGTATAGGAAATATGTTATATAGCTGAAACGTATAAAAAAGAAGTCACATATCTAAAATATAGATTCTGATAGGCTTCCCAAATGTTCATATATCACAATAGAAAACATAATAATACAAACCAATTACAATGTAGCTATGGGCTTTTTTAAAAATAAACTTTATTCAGTTTTCCAACAATTTAAAAAACCATTAAAAAAACACAATATATCAACATTGAAGACATCATTTACATTTCTTAATTATATTCGTATACTTAATTTTTTATTACATTGCAATTATTACATATTATTTTTCCTATTAATTCACTATTCCTTATTCCTTGTTTATATCACTTGTTACATAGTACATTTTCTGTTAATTCTACATTCAGTATATATAACTTCAGATCCTTTAATTAATTACATTATTACCTTTCTTTCTATTCTCAAACCATGTATACCAGGCATCCCAGACTGAATAATATATAGATTCCTCTCTATCCTTTAACTCTAAAGTCAGCCTGTCCATTTCTGCGCAGTCTAGAATTTTCCTTATCACTGCTTCCTCTTGTGGTATATCTCCCTGTTTCCAGTGCTGTGCGTATGTAATCCTAACAGCAGTTGTTAGATGTAAAATAATATATCTGTCAGTCTTACTATATTTTCCCTTTATTATGCCTAATAGAAACAGTTCTGGTTGAAATTCAGTTTTTTGCTTTGTTATTTCTTCTAACCATTTTTGAATCTTACTCCAATGTTTTGTTTTGTTTTGCTTCCAGGCAGGTCCACCATATATGAAAGTGCGTACCCCATTCATTCTTACATTTCCAGCATTCTGGGTTTTGATTTGCAAACATCTTTGCCAATCTGGTGGGGTTAGCTATGGGCTTTTTGATTTCCTTTTGGAAGGCCTGCCATAGATATACGTAGCCATGATGGTGCAGCGATTAGAATGCAGTATTGCAGTCTAACTCTGCCCATAGCCTGGAGTTCGATCCTGAGAGGGCTCAAGGTTGACTTAGCCTTCCATCCTTCCGAGATCAGTAAAATGATGAGTCAGATTGTTGGGGGCAATGTGCTTGATATTGTAAACTTCCCTGTGTGTTCTATAAAGCACTACAGAGTGGTATATACCATAAGTATATAACTCTAGCTGATATTGTATTGTTCTCATTAGCTTATATATATTTTCATCCATTTGTTCTTAGTGATTGAATAACATTTTTCTTTCTTATTATTTTCCAGTAAGTTGACTGGGAAGTAGAACCAAAGTTGCATCAAATTTCCACTGCAAGCAGGATGTAGTATCTATACATTTTGACATGCCTCCATACATACGTGTATACTCAATGAAAAAATGATGAGAAGGCTGCACCATTTTTTTAAAAAAATAATTGAATCATCACAAAGGTTTTCAATATTGGTCATTAGCAGGGGTGGGATTCTGCGCAGTTTGGAGAACCGGCAAATCGTGCCCCTGGCTGGTTCTGCCCCTCTCCGCCCACCCCACCCCTCCCCACCCAGTCAGTCCTTACCGCGCATGCACGACATTGCATGCATGCTTGACATCTGTGTTCTCCCCGCCCAGTCACTGAAGGTATTTCTTTTTTTCCCTCTCCTGATGATCAGCTATGCTGGGATCCCCCTCACTGTCTTACTGCTTCACCCAGGAGTCTTCCCCGAGGCCCAGGAAGCAAAAAGGGGCATGCGGGGCATGGGGGTGGGGTGCTGTGCATGCCCCCTATCTCCCCTTTTTGCCTTCCTGGGCCACAGGGAAGCCTTCTGGGAGCAAAAGCGCCCCCCAGGAGGCTTGCCTGAGGCCCAGGAGGCAAAAAAACTGGGGGGGGGGGGGGTGGGTGAAAAAAAAAAAAAAAAGGAGCCACATCCACTCAGTAACATGGCCATTCCCACCTAGCCATGCCTACAGAACCAGTTGTTAAAAAATTTGAATCCCACCCCTGGTCATTAGATTGTGGATTTTGCAGTGAATCTTGAATAATTCACACTGCCTTTCCTATACAATAAATGAGCTGTTAATATTTTACAAATGAATCATTACCTGCATTGTAGGGCTTCCTGCGCCAATTTGTTAAATCTTTTAAATGTTTTTGCAAGGAATCTTGAATAATTCACACTGCCTTTCCTATACAATAAATAAGCTGTTAATACTTTTCTTTTTCTTTTTTTTTTATAAATAAATTTTATTAAATTTACAATTAAAAACATATCTACATTACATAATACTGTTAATACTTTTCAAATGAATGTTTATTACTTGCATTGGAGGGCTTCCCATAAGCCTGTTATTTTCTGTTGCCAAGCTCAATAATTTAATAAATTTTGGATCTTCGTAGTCATATCTCTTCCCAAGTAAAATGGATACTATGATATTGCCAACAGCTGCAGTCACAATTCTTCTGAATTCAAATGGTTTTCCTAGACATCAAATATGGAATTTCATCAAAATATAATAAAAATAAAATTATCATAAGTATTAATATTATATTTCATTGTCTTGATTCTAGCATCAATCTACTGTTGCAGTGACTTGTTGAGTTCATTGTCTTAGAAACTGGTTGATAGGAATGGATAAAGAAGTGAATCTTCATATTGCATCACTCTTTGGGTGGAACCTCCTCAGTTTAGTGTGGCAGGAGTTGGTACATTCCAATGACTCTGCCTAAATGGCTTCCTCTGACTGATGAAGCTGCCTGGATAGGCAGCAAACCATCTCTCAAACTAACAACAAAAAATAGTCCAGTTACAATGATTCAACCTTCAGACAACTGCAGACAACCTTCAGACAAAGTTTCAAATGATGTAAAAGATCAGTAAAAGACTTAATTTGAAATGTTAAGATTTTTGCTAAGTTTTTTTTTAAAAAAAAAACCTTGGAAAACAAAACAATACTTTTGTGAGAATACGAATTGTTTAATTAATAGGAAACAGTTAAAGAATGAATCCTGAGACTCTGTGGACATAGAAATAAGCCACTAGAAGTGACCAATGTTTCAGGAAAAAAAGAAAAGAGAAGAAAGAGGGGACAGAAATCCTACATAATGAAGAAATGCTGGAAAATGAGAAAATGGAAGATTATAAGACAGAGGTGATAGAATGGAAGCACAAACGACAAACAAAAAATTAAAAGAGCAAGGATTTATTTTTAAATTTACAAGAGAGAGTTTCTAAAATCTTGAAAGATATTTTGAGATGGGAGAAAGATTAAATTGAGATTCAATCCTTCCTATGATAGCAACTTGAATTAAAAACTAAGACTCTTGGAAGCAAAAGAAAAGAACATTGACTTGTTTTGTTTGAATATTGACTTGTTTAGTTGTCTTGTTTGATCAGAGTTAAAAATAATATTTTTATAAACTTCTGGAAACTCTTTCTGGACATTTTGCTGATATTTGGACAGAAATCACACAGAGTTTTGGATTTGTGAGTGGATAAGAATGGGCAAGTTATGGGAAGAAGTGAACCAGTATGCAATCTTACAGGGCAGGGCCCAGGGGCCAAATTCAAGGCCCAGGGGCCAAATCCGGCCCACAGGGTACTTAGATCTGTCCCACAAGGCCATCCTGGAAACAGCAAAGGACCAACCCGTGGTGCCTCTGCCAGTGAAAACAGAGCTCAGGAGCCCATTTTCTCTGGCAGAGCGCTCAGGCCACGTCCCTGATATGAGTGATGTCAAGCTGGCCATGCCTACCCTGGCCATGCCTACCCTGGCCTCCCGAGGTCAAACACAACCCTGATATGGCCCTCAATGAAATTGAGTTTGACACCCTTGTTACGGGGATAGGAAGCTGTTAATTTTGTCATACCTGTTGCAAGGAAGATCAGGAGTCACTTCTTTCAATATTTTTTCCTATCTCTTTTCTTTTTCTTTTCTGCTCTCTCGTTCTCTCCTTTACTCTTCACAGTTTGTGTTTCTTCTATGTTACATTTTTCCCCCAATTTGACTTTTTATTATCTTTTAGCATTGTAAAAACTGTTGAATAAAAACTATTTAAAAAGACCCATGGTTTGGAAGTTTGGAGTATGTCAACCCCTTCAAGATAACATAAGATAGATAAGCTTTTGAACTCCAGAAGAAACACCAACGCACCTTTATAAGATTCAAACTTCTTTACCAAGAAACTGCACTCTTCAGCTATTCTGCTTTCCATGGACCTCTTACCCATCCCATAGTCCCGTAACGTGCCTAACATAAATCGCCTCATCACCCTCCAGTTCTCACCACGGGAAAAAACTATTCCTGAAAAAACAAAAGTATGCAAAATTTCAACTGACGGTGAAGAAATGCACTCCCTGCCATCATCCCTCGGGATTTTCCAAAACCCAAGGAACATTTCTTAAATGCCTAATTAATTTCCAAGTTTTGTTGCCTTAGAGTTTGCCCAGATCAGTGTTTCTCAACCTTGGCAATGTTAAAGTATGTGGACTTCAACTCCCAAAAGTCCCCATCCAATTCTGTGAGATGAAATCTGTGCATCCAAAAGTTGGCTTGTTTAGGAAACACTGATCTAAATTATGCATGGCAGAAAGATAAATAACTCTGCACCCAAAATATCCTGATAATCATTAGATGAAGATTTTGAGGAAGAAATCCACTTAACAGAGTGATTACAGAGACCATTCCAATTCAGAGAACTGGCTTGTCACTTTTTAAAGAAAGTAAATAAATATATCTTTAAAAAACCCACCCCATGTGATCATTCATTCCACAATATACAATGTTTATTCAATTGTTTATTCTACTGAATATACAATATCATTCCAGAATATCTAACAGCACTAAATCTTAGCACAGCCATATTTCCCTTTATTTTTTGTAGTTTCTTCCTACATTTAGTTTCTGACATGGTTTTTCCCTTTCCTTTTTTTAGTTCTTTTTTGTTTGTTTTTTTAAAAAAACCTTTTATTTTCCTGGTGTTCCCTGATACCTCTTTCAGTTATTATTGTGAAACAAGTTACAGTAAATATGTATTTTTATCTGGAAGCCTCTTAGGGGATCCTCTGATCTCCAAGACCCCAGGGAAGGCTTGACTGAAAAGGCAACCTATTTATTTATTTATTAAACTATATGCTGCTTATTTCACTGTCAAGCAACTCTAAAACTTAGATTTTTAAAAAATAATGGCACTCTTCTTCCCCACTGAGTTGACCTGTTTCTGTTACGTTTATATCTTAACTAATTTATAGAATAGAATAGAATTCTTTATTGGCCAAGTGTGATTAGACACCCAAGGAATTTGTCTCCGGTGTATTTTACTTGTGTTCAATAGATGAGACTTTGAAAACAATCCAGAGAAGCAGGTATTACAGGGATTTATTCGACTCACATTATAAAGGAAACAGATGTAATGAGCCCTTCTTGGTTCATTTTCTTAAATGCTTAATAGTTGTAAATGTTCATATTTCTCTGATTTTGGGATGCACCTCTTGGGTATTGTGGGAAAGGTTGTTGTACTGTTAGGGAATTCTGCAGAGAGTATTATTCCCAGATTTTGGGAGCAAACTATCAACATCTCAGGCACACACATACAAAATGTGTAAATAGTGCAAATGGTGCAGGTCTTGTAATTAGTGCTTGTAAGAAATATGGATTGGGGTCATGTTAAACTCAATATTTGAGATACTGGGACTTATCTAAGAGGTTTAAAGTGGCTTTCCTTGACCCAAGCAGCTTCCATATTAGGGTACTGCAGATAATTATTACAAGCCAATTCTTTGATTCTCATTTAGGTGTTACTTTCATCTTAGAATCTCTCAATCTCTGACTGGAATCTTAATTGTACTACAAACATTCTAAATTCTTTAACCATACAGCAGAGACTGAGAGAGCTTGAGGTCACTTTCTGTATTATAAATACCAGTCCCACACTTTGTATGTTTTCCCATTTTAGGTCAATTCTAATTTGTATTGCTCCAGAGTCTCCATTATTTGCTATTGCTATTGCTATATGTTGGCAAATTGTATTGACATGAAATGAAGATTCTCACCAAAACCCTTTGAAAACTCATCAAATATGGGGAAAGGGGCCCTCTCAGCAAACACATCAGCCTTATTCACCAGAGCTTCCTTTATGGTCTCATATCCTGTTAGCACCACTATTTTCTGGAGTCCCAGTTGGATTTTGAATACGGGTCCATACTGTTTCGATAGCTGGAAAAAAGAAAGTATATGTATGAATGAGACAGAGATATTTTTATTAAGAATATGTTCTAAATTAATTATTATTTATTACATTTATTGGCTGCCTATTTTATCAGAGGGTAACTCTGGGTGGCTTACAATATTAAAAAGATAAAATTATACAACAAATAAAATATTATAAAAATACAAAGCAATGCCTCAGTGTTTATTTTAGAGATGAATGTTGTTCCACTGGCCAGGCTCATCTGATTATCAAGCAACTGATAGACACAAGTTTCCTGTCACTGATCTAGGTGATATCTGGAGACAATGGCATCAGCCATTCAGTTTAATAAGGGCATTCCATTCTTTTCCTACTTCTCTTTGGTCAGAGCAAGCTTTCATTTCCATGGCTTACAAAAGTCACAGAATGCTGCAATTTTCCCCTTCAATGGAAAAGATTTTTTTAAAAAAGTTACCTCTAACATTGTCTGGTAAGGCTTCTTCAGATCCATTATGTGGAGGTTTCCAACAACAGGTAAAGACCTGCGTCCTGGTGGAAAATCTTTGGAAGTCTTCTTCCAGGGGGTTCCCATTTTGAAAAGGAGCATCATGATAAGTATAAATAGGAACAGTATCGAAATAGGAACCATCAATCCCATTTCTTTTTAATAGGTGAGTTCTTTAGCAACTCTAATGGAACATCTGCAGCACAATTTTATCAGAGACAGTGTCTGCCAACTGAAAATCTCCAAGGACAGACTCCTTAACGTTAGAAAGGAAGACCAAATATTTCACAGTCATCCTTGGTAATTATTAAACTGTAGTTACTAAGATATTTTGAATCCATATCAGAAGTTTCTGAGCATTTTCCCCATTGAACTCTTTACAGGTACAAAACTAAATGTGCACAAGATTTGTCTTCACCAGTAAATTCAGACAAAGGCATATGGGGGGGGGGGGGAATGTTCTTTTATTTGAGCTATTTGAAAGTGCTTTTATCTGAATTCAAATTTGTCCAACTTATTCTTACGGTGGATACACAGACACTCTCATGCTCTACAATATGTGTGACTGTACATTTTCACATGAATTTCTGAGTTATCCAGTAACAATTCAGTTTTACTTCTTATATGTTTAGAGGCTACTTGGTTTATGCAAATCTCTTGGCCTACACAAGAGATTGCCAGTCTAGTATCTGTTGAGGGGATATATGTGGATCTCATTGGTGGCCCAACTTAATTGCTCTCCATAGGTTTAGACTTCAATTTACCACAGAATTATTAGAGGTGGGATAGTAGAGAAAATTGCCCAGTTACAGATATCTATGTAATGGCCTCCGGGTCATGCATGAATTCCACAAATATTTCTTAATATAAAAATAGTGGATGACTGCAATTCTTTGCTTTCTTTGGAAGCATATCAACCTGCCAGAAAGATGCCCATGATAATTTGATATAAAGAAACATGCTGAATGCCAAATCTTTTTTTACTTTCCCTGAAACAGTTTTAAAATGTGCCTACCTTTGAATTTTTCTCAACTCCAGCTCGCCATTTAATATTAATTTATTGTTGCTTTTTACGAACTTTTATTTTGTTGCATTTTATTCTATATTTAATGTATTTTTAAAAAATCAAACTGGGATGCATTATATCATAGGCAACGTAAAAATATTTTAAATTGGTATTAATACAATTTTGCAATTGGGAGCCTTTGGGACAGTTATTCTCCCATAACAGAATAAACTATTGATATCACTTTTACTGCTCATTCTGATGAGAATGGTGCTGTTTTATCATTCTGCAAAACTCCTGCTTTCATCATTCAAATCTATGGACAATTCATCACACCTCTTCATATTTTGCAGACTGAAAAAAATATTACCAGACTCACCACAAATAAAATAACAAGGTCTAAAGAATCAATCAATCATAATTGAGGTAGAAGGGACCTTCAAGGTCTTCTAGTCCAATCCCTGCTCAAGCAGGAGACCCTATACCATTTCAGACAGGTGACTGCCCAGTCTGTTCTTAAAAACCTCTGGTGATGAAGCACCCACAATTTCTGACACCAAGTGCCTTAATTATTCTCACTATTAGGAAGTTTCTCCTTAATTCCAGATTGCTTCTCTCTTTGATTAGTTTACATCCATTGTTTCTTGCCTGCTGGGGCTTTGGAAAATAAGATGACCCCCCCCCACACACACACTCTTTGCAGCAAACTCTCAAATACTGAAATATTCCTATCATGTCCCCTCTAGTCCTTCTTTTCTCTAGATTAGCCAAACCCAAATCTTGCAATCATTCTTCATATGTCTTTGTCTTCAGGCCTTTAATCATCTTATTTGCTCTTCTTTACGCTTTCTCCAAAGCCTCAAAATATTTTTGTAATGAGGTGACCAAAACTGGATACAGTGTTCCAGGTGTGGCCTTCCTCAGGCTTTATAAAGCAGTACTAATACTTCATGTGCTTTTGATTCTATGCTTCTGTTTATACGACAAAGGATTGTATTAGCTTTTTTGGGCTGCTGCTGCTGCACACTGCTGGCTCATATATAAGTGATTGTCCACTAGGAATCCAAGGTCTCTCTTATAGTTACTGTTTTTGAGTCAGGTTTCACCCAATCCATACTCATACTTTTAATTTTTCCTGCCTACGTGTAAAACTTTGCTTTTCTCCACATTAAATTTCATTTTCCTGGATGAGGCCCATTGTTCAAGTCTATCAAGATCTTTTTTGATCCTGAGCTTGTCTTCTGGAGTGTTAGCTATTCCTGCCAAATTTGTGTCATCTGCAAATTTGATGAATTCCCCTTCTATTACCTCATCAAAGTCATTTATGAACATATATTTTTTTTATAATAAAGTTTTATTTGGGTTTTCACACATACAAAATACAAGTAAAACATCTTTTTTGAAAATAGCATGGTCCCAGGTTGAACTTCTTTATACAGACACAAAACTCAATTTCATGCTCCTTTTTGTATTCTATTCCATATCTTATACTATTTTACATTTTCTGTATAGTTTTTCCCCTCTTTTAATTTTCTCAATTTTATTTTGATTATCTCATCTCAATTCAAATCATTATATTTATACTTTTGTCTGTTCTGTTTCAATTTCATATTATCTTTTCTCATTAAACAAATTTTCTCCTGTAGTTACTAATTGGAGTATGACACCTTTATATCTTTTAATTACATCCATTCAACTCTTATTTAAACTTCAATATATACCTTAAGTTTATGACCTTCAATATAATACATAATACATAACTTCCAATCGAATTCTGCTTGGTACATTCTTATAATACACACTATATTCTTTAAAAAAAGAAAGAAAGATTGTAAATATATGTAATTATAAACCCTCATTCCATGCCAGTTCAGGTCTATCATTAATAATCATTAAAATCTTAACATCTTTAACACTTATTTTCAATTAAATATCATACTTCCTTAAAAACGTAATTAATTTTTCCCTTATTTCTCTTCACATATGTTTTATAAATCATTAAATATACCTTTTTGTTGTGACTGAAAGGTTTGAGCTTGCTGTGAGCTTTGAGTCTGATGTATCAGAAGACACAGGGTCAAGTGATGAGGAAGGTTTGGCATTGGAATTGGAGCCTGCTCTAATGAGAGATGCAGACGTGAGCCAGGAGGATGAGGGAGTGTTGGAAACTCCCCCCTCTCCAGAACCTTCCACTTCAATCATGCCTCAGG